GTGCGGTCTTAGTTGTTTGCTCGACTGTGGGTACGATACATTTCACCTCCTTGTCCAATGGTCAGGGCCAGTCACTCAGCTATGATGCTGCAGGGCACGTCCAGCTGAAGGGGAGTCACTGGGATGGCTTGTTTGTGGCACGAACTAGGGCCGGCAGGGCAGGCCAGGAATCAGTGCAGGGCAGGTTCCCTTAGGCCATGCCTGTGCTGCTCAGGGGTGTGATGTTCAGCGTACAGTGCAGGTATACAGGAAGGAGTGAGGAGACTGTGATGTGTGGAGCGAAGATGGGCATGGGGAAGAGGAGAGAGAAACAGGAGCCGAAAACAAAAAAGAAAAGGAAGAAAGTGTGCTAAAGGAGCTTGCTGTTGGAGTGGAGACGTGAGAAACTGAGAAATGCGGAAAAACAAAAAGGAAAAAAAGAGAAAGGGAAAAAGAAAAAACAAATAGAAATTAGGAAGAAAAGAAAAAAAGAAATGCAAATCCCCTAGGGATCCTACCAGTGTGACTGAAGAAACCAGGGAAGTAGTTCCCTGGCCATGAAGTACAGCCTGGCTAGAAGGGGTAGAGATGTCACACAGTGCCAGGTATTCAGGAGACAGGAAGAGAAGGTAGGTATAGGGAGATGAGAAACTGAGAAATAAAGAAAAAACAAAAAGAAAAAGGAAAAAGAAATGCTCTGAGGGATCCCACTGCACAACTGCGCAGTCCGGCGAAGTAGTTCCCAAGCCGAGAAAAGAAAAAGAAAACAAACAAACAACAAACAGAACAAAACAAAAAAGCCCCGAGGATCCCACCAGCATGGCAGCGTGGGTCAGGTAGCAGTTCCACAGTCAAGCGGTGCTTCACAGCCTTTCAAGAAGGAAACAGGGCACATGGAGCCAGGTGTTGGAGAGAAAGGAGGGGAAGGTGGTGAGAGGTATGGAAGAAACCAAAAGAAGCTGAAAAAAGCAACACCAGCGACAAACAAATGGCACTCAGGGAGCTGGCTGTGTAGGCGGGGCAAATCCAAGTGGCACAGGGCTCAAGCTGTTGACTCCCGGCCAAGAGTCTGTGGCCGCAAGAAGCAGAGGAGGCTGAGCAGGGGTGAAGATGGGTGGAGGGTGGAAAAGCATATATCGCTGGTTACCCGTTGTTCTATCTCCTGCTAGGAGCTCCGTGAAGCTGCTTTCCCATACTCCCTGTCCACCGATCTCCAGTGTGGGCTGGGCAAATCCTAATGGCAGGGACCTTGCGCTTCCCGTCTGGCTGAGCTACCGCAGCAAGCTATGAAGCAGCAGAGGTCAAGCAGGAGGGAGAAGGATGGGGAGTGGGAAGGCGTATATTGCTGGTTACCGCGTGCTCTGTCTCCTGGGAGCTCCGTGAATCTGCTTTCCCATATTCCCTGTCCGCCAGTCTCTGACAGAATTCCAAGATGGCGAATTCATGCTGTGTTAGCTTATAGGGGACCTCTGTACATATCTCTCCTTGCTGTCTGTTCTCTGTCAGTTTCTTATTCTGTTCGGTGCTTGGCTGTGTTCTTTATCTCTTCATTTTGATGCTTAGGTTTCTAGGATTGACGTCTGTCTCTGTTTGACTTAGTTTTTCGGGTCTTTGCTGTGGAGGGACAGCGTGATGCTTCTGTCTGTAGCGCCATGTTGGCTATGCCTCCCAGTTTAGTTTTTTAAAAGCATTTTGGACCTGAATGAAGATACTGTAGATGCTGGGAGTAGATACTGGGAAGCAAGGCTGGGGAGCAGGGTATGTATTCAGTTTCTTTCCCCTTAGGCAGGTAACTGACTGTGGATGGAGTAAAAAGAGAAAGGAATTGAATTTCTTGAACTAGGAAGACCTCAAATACCTTACTGACTTCATGTTGTGAACCTGTAGATCTCGGTCCCGAGACACCGACACTTTCTGGTCCCTGGCCCTTTGCCCTTACTTTTTCCACCCCTACCCAAATATTTATCTTTACCATTTAAGAACTCCACAAAACAAAAATAACATATAAATGTTTTACAAATAATTTTAAATCAGAGCACAAAGAATTTTTTCACAACATAAAACCTTTTCATAAGGCCATCTTGCACATATTTGCTGCATATAACTTAGACACACATATGAACAGCCGTAAATTATGGTAAAACTTGGAATAACAGAACACTTTGGTGGTCTGTGGATATCCACGTATTCAACTTCAAGGACTTAATGTCTACCTACTTCTGACATGTGCCTACCAGTGCCCACTGTATAGTAGAATCCCAGGAAATTCATGTTAAATGAATGAATGGGAACTTTTAGGCCTTCTCTTAGAACTAACAACAATTTCAGCCCAGTAGGCAATAACAAAACTCTTAGTTCTGTATTAACATAGTGCTACCTTTTTGGAGAGAGGCAGTCCATAGGTTGATTCATTTTTATACTTGAAATTTTCCTACGAAGTTATAAGAACAGCATATACATTGCTTTTGGAGGCTATAATAGTATTTCACAGAGCTCAGCCTCGAGCCCACTTTGTATTTCAGATGTGTTAAGTTCAATGCTGTCTCTTTAAACCTTCACTGACCTAGCATGTGGTCTGACTAGGGACCCCTATTTCTGTTCACTTCTAGGTCCACAAATTTTCCCTTCTTTTTTCCAACACTTCCACTAACCTCTTGAAGCAATTATTGGTTGTTTTGTGAAAGAAGAAAACGGCAATTTCCATTTTTTTCTACTCATAAAGTCTCCAAGAAACACAAAATTTTCTTACTTGTTCAAGGTTAAGGCTGTTTACTCTTTCCAATATATTATCCATTTGAAACCTGTGATCAAGCTAACATGGAAGCCTGATTTTTCCCCCAAGTTTCGATCAACAGAACATGATTGTTTTGGTTGAAAGTATCTTGTGCTTTTATTCGTACTGCTCAAGCTTTGTCTTCAGAATTTTATTGAGTAATTTAGATTTATCTCTTTTACAAGGTGTTTTATTAGTAATGCTTCGTCTGATGGGTCCTTGCCAGGAAATGTTTTTCCTGTCAGGGTCAGAGTGGGAGTTGAGTTTTATAGCATACTGTCACTGAGCATGTGACTTTGTCTTCATTCTAAGTTTAATTTTCTGTTTTTTAGTCAGTACTCTGGCCTCATTCTTCTCTTTTGCATTGAAACTGTTTAAAAAGTTAAAAAACTGCCATCCCGTTTCTAGTCATCATTGCTAAAACATTGTCAGAACCCAGGCTCCTGACATTTTTTTCTCAGAGTAGCATTGGTGATGCCCTGGTTTTCAGTGAGGACAGGGACTGTTGAATTTATGACTCTTACTCCTTAAGCATCATTGCCCTAATATTGTGCTTATGTTTTTAGTAGCTATATATGTTAAGGTAAGTATTTGAGCTTATCTTCCACATGATTGCAGTTTGAAGGTTCTAGACCTGATCACAGGAATCACCATGCCGCCCTCCACTCATATTTGGAAGAGGTACCCAGAGACCAGTGAGAAAGTAACAGGAGGAGGTGGCCACTGGGTGGTCAGAGTCACAGCCAGACTCCCTCAGGCCCTGAGAGTTGCTATGGGCAGTCCACGGGACACCTCAGAGCACAGCATTCCTCTTAAACAAGAAGAAAGCATTTTTAGTCTCCAGCACAAGTCAGTTTATTTCACTTTCACATGCAATAGGCTCTTTCCTGCCTCCCAAATAAGACTTCTTACCTTGAAATTATCCTTTTTCTCAGGAAGAATCAATTTCTGGATTTTATTTAATTATTCCTCACTCAGTTTTCTCAGTTATTCCATCAGCAAAATAGAATTAATAATACCTTAACCTACATATCCCAAAGGAATATATATGAAATTAGCACCTAAAAAAAAATAATGTATTTATTTACACACCATAGTATATGACAGATTCAAAAGCTAGTTTTATATTTAGGATTGGCAAATACCAATAAAAAAAATAGTTCTTGATTTCTGTCTCAGCTTTCCTAAATAATCAGTAGGTTAGATGACATTATGAGAGAAGATTCTCCTTAACATCATCACTGCCAATATCCATAAATTTTCAATATAATAGAATTTTTCCTGTTGTTCAGAGAAGGAATTATAAGCGTGTGCACTTAATTATAGAAAACATTCTGAAATGTTCTTCCACTCCAGATGAAAGTAATTGTGTTGGTGTTACATTAAAGCAACATTTGTTTTTACATTTTTTTTTCCTTGTAAAATAATGATAATGAATGCTCTGAGTGAGCACGGTGAGTACCTCTTTAATCCTCATGTCAGCACTACAAGACAGGTACTATTATTAGACTCATTTTATAGGTGAGAAAACTGAGGCTCACAGTGTTCTTGCCAAAAGTCACAGCTAGTAGATGATAAAACTGGGGTTTGATCCAAGATAGTCTGACTTCAGACCTCTGTACTCTTAAATCTTATGTGTACCTGCTTCTGGGTGAATTAATTCAGTACCATGCTGAAATCTTGTATTTGGTCCGGTCTTTAACTCGCTTTACAGAATTTCATACTCGATGTGATTTTATCAGAAGTTTCTCCTAAAAGTGATTCCTTAAGATTGAAATAGTCATTCTGCATAATAATTTGACTTTTGGAAGTAGGATGGACCTACTTCCAAAGATATTTAACATATGTTTTAGAAGCTTTGTTAAACATCCTTCTTCTGTCCTCTGTGTTTTATCTCTTAATGGTACTATAGCTTTGTATGTGTATATGCAGGAAGAAATTGAAGGGCATTTTAAGTTTCAGTCTTGTGTCAGATGGACCAGCAGTTACAGAAGGCATCAACGGTGACAGAAATGAAAAAAAAATGAAAGAAAACTCTCAACTAATTTCACCTTTTTTTTTTTGGACCTGTGAGAAAATCATACTTTCATCATTTGGTCTCAAGAGGAAATAGACAGTGATGGTGTTATTTTCTGTTTCTCCTTAGACACCCCTAAGCAGGAGGATAGTGTACAGAAATGCCAGCAGGGGAGAGGGGCGGTTTGCATTCCTATTAAATGCTTTTTCCCTTCCCCCATCTTGATTTCAGGTGTCAGAAACTATTTAAAAGAAGCATTGGTGAATATAATTGCTGTGCACGCGGAGGTAAGCTATTATTAGATGTTCCTAAGAGATATGGCTAATTGAAAAAAGAGGCAAATTTGATGATTTTTATGGTGGTCTTTTTTTCCCTTCAGACAATCTCTTGGGTGTAAATAAAACAGTTCTAATGTCCTGTGCGTGTGGTTTATTTTTGTTTTGTTTTTGTAACTAAGAATATTTTTCTGAAATTGTATATGTTTTCGCTCATAATTAAAACTAAATTCATTAATATTTAAAAAGCAAAGAGAAAAGAGATTGGAAGGATGTTTTTTCTTTAAAGGATGTTAAATCCCTTATCTTGGAAAATTCATTAACCTCTTTTTAGCCAGTATACAAATCAATGTTCCAGCAAAGTGGTCTCACGTAGTGGTTGGGGTTCCATAAAGGTAGAAGCTTGTTAGAAAGATAGACTCAAAGGAGCAGGTTGAAGTTAGGAAGAAAATGTATGATTTCCTGTCAGTGGTGACTTAGGTCCATATAGATGTTGTTGCTTCTAGTTCATAATTCTCATTAGCTTCATACTAATATCCTTAGTGCCCTTATTTGGAGGAATCTTATGTGGAACATCGAAAGAAGAGACCACAGCTACCACTGTTACCACCACTGTGACTACCTACTGTCATTCAGTAATTTTCATTACTCACTGCTTTGCCAATATTTTAAGGCTGGTTCTTCCTCATAGATGAATGGGTGACCAGGTAAAATGGAACACAGCAAAGAGGTTATCTTTAGATATTTTTCACCGTCACTTACGTGCCTCTTAAGCTGTATGCCTACAATATAGGTTTATTTGAGTTTATACCACCCTCTGTACCAAAAATATCAGAGACTATCAAGATAAACTGAGGGGGGGGGAAAAAAAAACAGGAACAATTAAGGCTAAAACAAAAGAGTGACCAAAGAAAATGCTATCTGGTTCGTGAACTTGGCTGTAAGTTTGAAGCAAGTAGAGCAGAAAGGCAAATACGATATATTATCATTTTCATTTCTTATTAAAGGGAAATATATAAAGTCCTTTGTGAAAATGAGGTTTTTATATGATTTAAGTGAAACCAGAATTTATCATGATGATCTTTTTATAACTAGTAATATATTTTCAACCATGATTTTATCAAAAGCATAAAAATGCTGTCCTTCTTATGTTAGATTCTTATAAAATTCAGGTATAAAATTAATCAACAATTAGCAAAAGCATTTCTGTGGTAAGTGAACAGGTGGTAGTCAGAGGAACTGAGAAATATATGGGCATTTTTAGTGTTAATGATTCCTAACGAGATATTTTATTAATGTCCATTATCAATAACCATGAGATTATTTGTATCAGTGACTGAAAGTGGAATTTCTTTCATAATATATACTATTTCCCACATGATCTTAACTTGCCAAAATCTTCTTGAACGTTTGCATTGTATTTAGGTTGGCCCAAAGGTTTAATACTAGTGGCTCGATATGAAAAAAAGGAAAACTAAAAAGAAAATATGATTTCATTTTAAACCAAGAAAGTCACCTGTTTCACTAAATTACCTAATATAATAACTCCTACTTTGAATATGTCAGACCTTAAAATCTGAGCATGGAAACTATTTTTAGTGTGTCAACTTTAATAATACCTTTCAAAATTATGCTTGCCAATATTTTTAAGAAAATTGTTTTTGTCACGAATCAGTTAATACAACTTAAATATGTCTTTATCTTCCTTTCATTCATAGTTTTGGTCCTTTAAAAATATGGAAGGCATGTGAGTTATTTTGTTTTGTGTATTTGTTGTTAATAAACTAAAATTAGAAAAAGCCTGCATAATGCATGATTTCTTCTTATTTTAAACCTTTGATCAGGTGTTCACTGTTTCAAAGGAATTGGTACCTCGGGTACTGTCAAGGGTTGTGGAAGCTGTTTCTGAAGAGCTAAGTCGACTGATGCAGTGTGTTTCATCATTCAGCAAAAATGGAGCATTACAGGTACCCAAATCATTCAGTTCCATGCTGAACTTCTATTTTTATTTAAAATATACAGATCAGTTTCAGTCATCAATCTTATACCCAAAACCAAACCCATTGCCATCAAGTTGATTCTGACTCATAGTGACCCTATCATATAGAGACAGGTTTTATTTCATTTTCTTATAGACCTGATTGGAGATCTATATTGGAATTTTTCTTGTATAAACCATACCCATAATGTATTATCAATAAGCCTTAGAATTACTGTTCCTTTAAAGTAGAGCAAGACCATAAATATGCTTGTGAAATTATCTGAAGCAGATCCCTCCTAAAGTTTTGTGATTTTTCTTTTTATTTTACAACTGTCGTCAGCAAATTTAATTGCACAGAAATATTTAGCAATTTACTTTTAATAAGTTTTTCTAAAGCATTCCATCAGTTTGCATAAAAACAATGAATAATTGTCACTTTCCAATCATATTCCATCATTTTATGTACTAGGTATTTAAATTACATAATTACAGTAACAAATGTAACTACTATAAACCAGATAATTCTTGGTATGTATGGGACCTGACTGGTAGAAGTCAAGGTATGCAGACGTATTGAAGAGCAACCTCCTAGCTGTGAGCTTTCAGTGTGCTGGAAGCATTGTGAGTGTGTTTTTTAAAAGCAGTGGTGTTCTGCTTTCAGTAATGACTGAAAGAGCTCTGTTCAGGCCAACTACTCACATGTAATAACTGTAAACCTTGAGTATATTAAAAAAATCTGAGGGACTTCCAGCAAAATGGCGCTCTAGGCAGAAGCACCACGCCGTCCCTCCAGAGCAAAGATCCGAAAACCAAGCTGAACAGAGCAAACAGCAATCCTGAAACCCTAAAACATCAAATGAAGAGATAAAGAACTCAGCCAATCACAAAATGGAGTGAGAAAACTGACAGAGAATGGAGAGCGAGGAGAGATTCATGCAGAGGTCCCCGATCAGCTAACGCAACACGGGTCCGCCATCTTGGACTCCTATCAAAGACCAGCAAACGGGGTATGAGAAAGCAGCTTCACGAAACATCCAGCGGGAGACAAAACAACCGGTAATTTGCGATATATGCTTTCCCACACCCCTACCCTTCTTCACCCCCACTCGGCCCCCTCTGCTTCCCTCGGCGACAGTCTCTTGGCCGGAAAGCACCAGCTGCTTGGATTCCACCCACCCGCACTGGCCAGCTCCCTGAGTGCCTTTTGTTGGCTGCTGGTGTTGCTTTCTTCCGCTTCTTTTTATTTCTTCCTTACCTCTCACCACCTCCCCCTCCTTTTGCTCAAATACCTAGCTCTGTGCGCCATCTTTGCCTCTTCCTAAGGGGCTGCGGAGCTCCGTTCAAGTGTGGAACTGCTTCCCGGTCTGGGCTGCCACACTGGTGGGATCCTGGGGCTTTTGTTCGTTTGTTTTGAATTGTTTGTTTGTTTTCTTTTCCTTTTCTTGAGTTGGGAGCTCATTCTGACCGGGCAGTGCTACACGGCTGGGGACCTACAACGTCAGCTTGAGTGTACGTGCAAAGGGATCCCTGAGGGCATTTCTTTTTTTGTGGTTTGGTTTTGTTTTGTTTTGTTTTTTCTGTTTTTTTGGGGGACTTTGCTTGTTCTTTTTTTTTTTTTAATTTGTTTTCTTTTCCCTCTTTTTCCGTTTTTGTCTTTCTTCATTATTCAGTTTCTCATCTCTCTATACCTTCCTTCTCTTTCTGTTCCCTGAATACCTGGTGCTGAATACCTCTATGCCTTCTAGAGAGGCTGTACTGCAACACCTAGGAACAACTTCCCCAGACCTCGTAGCTGCACTGGTGGGATCCTTAGGAGCTTTGCTGTTCTTTCTTCTAATTTTTATTTAGTCATTCTTTTCTCTTTTTTTACTCTTCTTCTTCCCCTTTTTGTTTTTTTCCATTTCATACTCTCATCTCTCCACTTCAACGGCAAGCTCCCCTAGGACACTTTTTTGTTTGTTTGTATGTTTCTGGCTCCTGTTCCTCTCTCCTTTCTTCCATATCCATCTTAGCTCCACACATAACAATCTCCCCCCTCCATCCTGCCTACCTGCACCACCAAACAGCACAGGCACAGCCTACCGGAACCTGCCCTGCACTGATTAAAAACTTGCCCTGGCAGCTGTAGTAAGTGCCACAAAAAACCCAGCCCAGCAACACCTCTTCAGCTAGACCTGCCCTGTGTACCATATCTGAGCAACTGACCCGGCCAATTGCAGAAGGAGGTGAAAAGTATCGTGCCCACAGACGAGCAAACAACAAAAAACACACAGCCCGCCTGCTCAGACATAGCCAAAAAAAAGGACAAAACAAACAAATCTGCAATCAATAAATGAGAAAAATAACTATTGAATACCTGGAAGACAGCAGAAAATATCAAAACATTTACTAAAACAGGACAGGATGGTTCCAGTAGGCGTCCAAAATAAAACACCAGATGACTTTCCAGTGGAAGAAAAGGCACTAGAACTACCTGATAGGGAATTCAAATCTCTAATACTCAGAATTATCCAAGAGTTGAAGCAAAAAGCAGACAAAAATGAGGAAAAAATAGACAAATTCATAGAAAAGGCAGACAAGTTAATGGAAAATAGAGACAAAACAATGGAAGAATTCAGGAAAATAATGCAGGAACAAAATTCCAAAATAAATTCACAACTAGAACTTATACAGAAACAACAATTAGAAATCCAAAAGATAAACAACAAGATTTCAGAAATGGACAGTGTCATAGGAGGCTGAGGAGCAGATTTGAAATGGTAGAAGACAGGATCAGTAGAATTGAAGACAAGCCCTTGGATACAACTCTGTTCAAGGAAAACTCAGTAAAAAGAACAAAGAAAAATGAAGAGACCCTGAGAGTTATGTGGGATACAGTCAAAAGCTAAAATTTTCAACTGATTGGAGTTCCAGAGCGGGGAGAGAACAGAAAACAGACAGGATCATTGAAGAACTGCTCACAGAAAACTTCCCCAGTATCATGAAAGATGAAAAGCTGGCCATCCAAGAAGCTTAACAGACCCCATATAGGATAGACCCCAAAAGAAAATCACCAAGGCATATAATAATCACACTCACCAAAACCAAAGACAAACAAAGAATCCTGAGAGCAGCTCGTGGAAAACAAGAAATCACATACAAAGGAGAAATAATAAGACTAAGCTCAGATTTTTCAGCAGAAACTATGCAGGCAAGAAGGCAATGGAATGACATATATAAAATCTTGAAAGAAAAAAATTGCCAGGCAAGAATAATATGTCCTGCAAAACTCCCGTTCAAATATGATGGTGAAATTAGGACATTTCCAGACAAACAGAAATAAAAGGAACATGTAAAAACCAAACCAGACTTACAAGAATTATTAAAGGAAGTTCTTCGATCTGAAAACAAACAACTTCAGCTCACAGGCTGAATCTAGGATGCAGGATCTTACTAGCCAGATACCAATCTAGGAAATAAACTCTCAAGGACTATCCAAAATGAAAAGAAATACAACAGGGAATCAGAGCAGTGAATCTGTAAATGGCAACAACATCAGAACAATAAAAGAGGGAACAAACGGTGTAGGTATAGAACCTACTAATGCAAAGGAAGGCAAGGTGATACCAAGGAATAATCAACTGCTTCAAACTTAGAAAGATAAGGGTAAATTTCACGGTAACCAGAAAGAAAGTTAACAAACATACTCATAAAAATAAAGAGGAAAAACATAAAGTCTCATCAAAAACAAAACCTACAAAAACAAGAAATGAATAAAAATCCACAAACAAAAGTAATTCAGCACAGGAGAGTAAGAAGAACAGGG